CTCTGCGGCACCGCGGCGGCGGCGAGGGCGGCGAGGCCCCGAGCTCCGACGCTCCAACAGAAGCTGGAGCAGGCGGCCTCGGGCAGCTTTCGGCCTCCGGGGGGCCCTCGCCGGGCCTCGGGAGCGTCAAAAAACGATTCGGGACGGAAAACCGGTCCCGGGGAAGTGGTCCGGACCTCCAGGGCCCACGCATCGGAAAAATTGGAGGAGGAGGAGGAGGAGGAGGAGGAGGAGGAGGAGGAGGAGAGGGAGGAGGAGGAGGAGGAGGAGGAGGAGGAGGAGGAGGAGGGAGGAGGAGGAGGGGGGCGGGAGAGTGGTGCAGGACGCGGAGGCGACGGCAGGGGGAAGGGGGGGGGCAGGGGGGGGGGGGCAGCCCAGGGGCGGGGCATAGCTTTCGCATCGGCAGTGCCCGCGGACGCCGGCGCGGAGATGGGTGCCGGCGGGACGCGCCGGGCGCGGGGCACGCGGAGAGCGGGGAGAGGAGAGAGGGCGGCCGCGGAGGAGGAAGATGGGCGGGGTCGCGGCGAGGGAGGGCGGAGTGGCGCAGAACGTCGGAGGCGGCGGCAAGGCAGGATCAGCCAGCATCGAGAATCGGGACATCCGATCGAGTGGGAGTGCGAGTTGCTACAACGGGCAACACCGCGCCAGCGGCGAGGGCGGCGAGGGTGGGCGGAGTGGTGCTGAGCGTCGGAGGCGACGGCAGGTGGGCGATCTGAAGTTTATCCATGCCCCTGCGCGCGCCCCGACACCTCCTCCTACTTCTCCTCCACCTCCTCCTCCTCCTCCTCCTCCTCCTCCTCCTCCTCCTCCTCCTCCTCCACGAGGAGCCACAGCGGAGATACGGACAAATTCCTGGCCTCCGAGGCCGCTTTTTACGCATGCCCTGCTTCGCCTGGCGCCAAGAGTGGGGGGCAGCAGCAGGGGTATGGATCGAGCGTCGATCGTCGAGCAGGGGCGAAAACCACAGGGGCGCGCATGACCGCGGCCTCCGAGAGTACAGGATGGCCGAGAGCTCCACCCGCTCGGATTTTCAGTCCCAGCGTTCTGATACGAATACGAAGATTACTGATAATAAGGGAACGCATAGTAATAATTGTTAGAAGAAGAAGAAGAAGAAGAAGAATGCCAATACTGGTAACAGTATACGAATAATAATAATACGAATGCGAATACAAATAATAATGATGGCACTACGAATAACAATAGTAGCAATAATGATAGTAATAATATTACGAAAATACCAAAAAACGACTGCGAATAGTGAAAATACAAATAACAATGATTATAATAACGACACAAAATACTAAACAAGCAACAACCACACCAACAACAACAGCAATCACAACCACCACGACAACAACAACAACAACAACAACACCAAAAACAACAACAAAACAAAACAACACAACAGCAGAACCGGCAACCAAAACAATAATAACAAAAACGACAACCACAACAACAACAACAACCACAACAACAACAACAACAACAACAAACCAACAACAAAACAACAACACCACCACCAACAACAACAACAACAATAACAATAACAACAACAACAACAACAACAACCACAATAACAACAACAACAACAATATCAAATATAACAACAACAATAACAATAACAACAACAACAACAACAACAACAACAACAACAACAACAATCATTTAAGACTGGGGACACTCCGTTCTCACCAGTGCCAGGGTTTTCATAGGAGGCGGGCAATACCCCCACTCTGTGGGGGGGCCGGTTCAAGCTCTACCAAATTTCCATACGACTCTTCGCCACCACCCACACCCAGCTTCCCGCCCTATGACGTTCGGACACTTCACTTCGTGGCATGCGGACGACCGTGGCTACTATTCAGGGCCCCGCGGCCGACGACGACGGCGTGCGCGCGCGAAGAAAAAACGAATGTGTCCAATATGGTATTATTTGACAGGGATGATGGCCCTGGCATGCGCGCAACCGTTGTTGCAGAAGTTCGAAGCACGTGAAAAAGTTGCTCGCAAGAGCCCGTTTGACAGAAATGTTGAAAAAATATTGGGTTTCCTCAGAAATCCGCAAGAGCGCGCAAGATGAATTTTTGAAACTTTTTTTTTGAAAAACCATTGGGTTTTTCATGTTTTTATGTTAAAATCGCTACGAAAACTAAGGTTTTGGAAGGATTTCATCTTGCGCGCGCGAGTGTGCACTTCGTGTCATTTTTTCAAAGGATTCTTGAAGTTTGGTTATGTTAGAACAAGAAATTTCATTTTATAGTGTTTTTTGCAAGGGAAAGCGGGCGTCAACAAAACAACCGGATCCGGACACCCACGTTTTGCCTGAGACTTCCTCACGAAAATGATGAAAATGTGGCTGCGGCCTAGGCGCGGCGAGGGGGGCGCGCACCAGGGGTCCCAACAATAATTATTCTTTAGAATAAATAATGTTCAACAACAACAACAACAACAGCAGCAGCAGCAGCAGCAACAGCAGCAACAACAACAACAACAACAACAACTGATCGATGTGCGGTGGCAGGCGGAGAGGGCCAGGTGGGCTCCGTTTCGCTGCAGGCACGCCATCCACAGCTCGCCCCGAGGCATCGCGGGACATCCGAAACGGCGTGGCCAAAGGCGGCCGCCGACCCCGAGTGCGTCCAGGAGGCTCGAAGTCCCGACGAGGAGGGGCAAAAGCAGCGAGGAGAGAAGCAGCGGCGGCAGAGGGCCCAGGAGAGGGGGGCACGGCTTCCTCCCGACAACGGGGAGGGGTCGCAGGCCCCGGACTTCGTGATCTTCTGTAACGCGGACCCCTGGGGTGTCGACCCATCCCCCCCAGACCGGCTTTCCATCCCGAGTCGTTTCTTGACGGCCCCGAGGCCCGCTGAGGGTACCCAGAGGCCGAGATCTATCAAAAGCCGTCCGATCCGACATCTCATGGCCTGAGGGGGCCTGGGATCACCTCCAGCCCTGGGCACCGCACACCACCGCCGCAAGGCGCCGCGCCGCAGCGCGGAGCACACCGGCTGAGAGGCCAGGGCGCCCTGGGCGGCGCCACGGCAGCAGTCGGCCAGGCCCCCCGCTGCGCAGTGGTCAGAGCACGCGCACGGTGCGAGATGGCGGCGGGGGATCATATGTTCGGCATCACTCGGCGGCGCGCCCCGGGGGGACGCGAGGGGGCCGGCCTTCTCAGAGGGCGGCGGGGCTTGCCAAAGCCCTCGCGCCCTGTGAGAGTCCGCATCTGCCTTCGGGACAGGCCCAGACGCCCAGACACCTCCTCCTCCTCCTCCTCCTCCTCCTCCTCCTCCTCCTCCTCCTCCTCCTCCTCCTCCTCCTCTCCTCCTCCTCCTCCTCCACCTCCCCCTCCTCCTCCTCCTCCCCCTCCTCCTCCCTCCTCCTCCTCCTCCTCCTCCCTCCTCCTCCTCCTCCTCCTCCTCCTCCTCCTCCTCCTCCTCCTCCTCCTCCTCCTCCCTCCTGTGGCACTGAAGCGCCGACGGCTGCAGTGTCGTTCGGACGTAGCCCTTCCCCTTCCCCCCCCAGGACCCGTCGGCCCCGGGGGGGGGGGAGGAATTCGCGAGCCATGAAACGCCAGGGGCGGACGCCACTGAAGTCACCGGACGGTGAGGCATGCTGTAGCAGGCAGGAGGCAAGCCCAGGGCCCGTCGGCCCGGGGGGGGGAGGAATTCGCGAGCCATGAAACGCCAGGGGCGGTCGCCACTGAAGTCACCAGATGGCGAGGCATGCTGTATCTGACTACCTGCCAGACCACCCCAACCCAACCCGAAGATCTGAATTTCGGGTTGGGGGGGGTACGGGTTCCATATGTGTTTTGTCGATGTTCCCCGACCCCCCCCCCCCACTGGAAATGGAGGGCGAATTGAGGCCTTCGGGTTCGGTTGGGGTGCTTTGGTGGGTAGTGAGTAGCAGGCAGGAGGCAAGCAGCAACAGAAGGCACAAGATGACAGGCGAGCGGACGAGAGGGGGATAGCAGAAGGAGGGAGGTGACCGTGACTTCAACAAGGGGGGGGGCCGAGGGAAATGATGCGGCGCGCGGCGGTGGTGCTACTGCGGGGGAGGGAGCCACACGCGATCGAGGCAAGGGTCAAGCGAGACGGGTCAGGGAGGCAGAAGGTAGGAAGCTGGGGCGAAAGGCTGGCGAGCGGCGGCCCCTGACGGTGGCCAGTGGGCAGTGGCCACTTCTCGCCAAGGTGGGATGGCGCAAGGGCCTCTCTCCTGCCGTTGGGAGACCCCCCAGTCCCGTCCGCGAGTCCAACCGATGGGGCCCTCGCCCGCAGAGGCGGGCGATAGGCTCCAGGGAGGGAGTGGCGGGCGGGCGGAGGTGTCCCCTGGCGCGGGGAGGTTTGCGCCACCCCGCGGCGGTGGCCACGGGGCAAAGCTCTCCCGCCCCCCACACACCTGATCCACAACTGGCTCGAATGAACGCGGCGTGGGCTAGGTGGAAGGCAGGTTGGGGAATTCAAAGATATCCGGGCAAGGTGATTGCACGCGCGGGTGGTGATTGTAATGGCTGCCCTGGCCTTCGCTGCCCTGGCCTTCGCCAGGTCAATCGGCGGTAGCTGTCCCCTCACGCGCCCACTACACCCCTCCTTCGCCACTCCGCCACAAAAGGGGACAGGTGAAGGTCAGTATGCCGAACAATTGAGCACGCAACATCGGAAAGAAAAAGGGAGCCAGGGGGTGAAGTTTGGGTGGAGGTGCCTCTCATGTTCTGCCAACATAGATGTATAATACTTGGCGTAGCATAGCCGTCCTTGCCGCAGTTGACGCGTGCCCAAAATCAAATAGGTGCCGCGGAGGATGCGCCGCCAGTGCGAGCCAAGTGTTGCTGCTGGCTGTCCTGTGAATGCGGCGGTTTGGTCGAAGGACAAAGAAAAGAAAAGGATGCGGGAAAGAGCAGTTGGTCGCTCAAGTGGAGTCTTCTGTCGGTCTTCCGGAGCAAAAATCGTCAGAATTGGAGGTGGCGGGCGACGCACTGATGGACCTCCGTTAGGCAAATC